ATGAAATGATTAATGATAATTATAATGGCAATAATTAATTAATATGCTTACATTTTTATTTCTATATTAAAAAAAAAATCAATGATTATTAGAAATTAAGAATTACTATTTGATCACTCATTCATTAACTCAATCTACTTACCTTTGTTCAATCTCGGTTTCAAGCAAAAAATCCTGAGGATATATGCGGAAAATTGTAGAGCTTTGATCATCTGTTGTTCCCATCAAATCTAAATAAATCAATTCATTTACTGATTTGTTTATTTGTGCATATTTCATAATAACAATAGAATTTGTATGACTTACGATCATTTGTCACAACATAAGTTTGGCTGGGGTACTTTTGTGAAAGTCCCAAATCATTTAGAGGTGAATCTTTTAGCATGGTCCTTTGTTTTCTTAATATTCCCAAACCATACCCCTAAAATATATCATTTGTGATTATTTAATAATTTAATAATAACATCACTTACATTTAAACATCACTTACGTTTCCTATATTATAATTAACACTTTCTTGAAGCGATTTGGCAAAAATTGAATAATCATCAGTTCCACTAGCAAGTGTATCATTATATGGATTATATTCTAATTTAAAAAAAGAACCACCAATCAATCAATCAATCAATTAGTCAATATTCAAAATAAACAAATTGTTTTTTACCTTGATCATGCATAGAAATAATAAAAGACACAGAACCATGTTTAGTAACGTTATAATCTGGATCCGTAATCTTGACAATCAAATATAATTCAGATATATCCACTTGATTTTTCTTGTTAAGACTATCAATGATAAATGATAAATTATCTGGAGAAAAACTTCCTTCCCAAGTATATCTGCTATTATCATGAGTAGGTTGTATTGCATATTCATTATTTGGAATACCTAAATTGATTAATTGATTGATATAAATGATACAATATATGTATAGTGCATCGCATATAATATAATTTTACCAATTATGGAAGTATCATTGGCGAGGATGTATCTACAATCTATCTTAAATTGATATCCAGCTGAGAAGTAAACAACTATACAATGATATTATGCGGTTGAAAAGTCATTACTCAACATTCTTATATATGATAAACTAATTCATTAATCAATTAGCTTCACCTGGTACAGGGAACTTATCCATTGGAGAATACTTTCTTGTAATAGTTGGTGTATCATTATTTACTCCGATTAATAATATGACAAGAACAGTTAATGTTATTGATACGAATAATATAACAACAAACTTTCTGCATATCACAACTGAAATTGGTTCGGGTTTATTTGATCTTTTACAACATAACAAAGTTTCCAACATCTTTTTTTAAAAGAAAAGTTTAGATATCAGGATGAAAAAATAATTCATGCAAATTTATTGAAAATTTCTCATTATTTATTATTAATGTTATAAAAATAAAATTTTTACTATTGTTGCTGAATCTAATAATGAATGGCAATGGATCTAGGCACATAATAGAAATTCAATGTAAATGAAATTTTTTTTGTTTTGGAATTGATTGATTAATTGACTTGTTTATTACTACAGTCAGGGACCGAGGGACAACGTGCATTTATGGAGGGTGTGCATTTATAGAGAGAAGCAATTTCATTGGTTGCACGTGTTACACAATTTTTTTTAAAAATAACTATCCATTGTATGTATATAGTTTGTTTTGATGAATTTACTTTTTTTACATTGAGATATCTTTCGATTTTATTAACCAATTTTATTTGTTCGCTAGCATTTTCTTGCTGTAATAAAAATGCATGTACAGTTTCA